TTTTCTTTTAAAAAAATAAATTAACTTAAATAGAGATAAGAATTTAAATAAAATTTATTTCTTTTTAAAATTTTGGTATATAATGCTTAAATATTCTTAAAAAGAAAAGAAACTAGAGCATATTAGTACATCCCTTATCTTTTTTAAAAGCTTAAAAATAACTATTTTCTAAACAATTAGAAATAAGACTCTTCTAAAATAATTTTACAATGAGAAAAAATTACTAATTATTTCTATAATTAAAAATTCATAATAAGACAAACCCATAAAATTTTAAGAATAAATTGTTATTATTTTCTTACTTTATAAAGAAGCTTATTTTAAAGAAATGATGCATTATTAATTTTTTTTCTTCACGAAAGCAGGTGCCCACGCAATTATTGTACCAAATAAAACTATGTTTTCACACTGAAATTTGCATGTGTGAAAAAATAGTTTTTTGTGGAATAAATTTTAGAATAAATATATGATACTCCTTTCAGTATTTTATATTTTAAAAATTTTATTTATTTATTTATCTTTTCATTTTATAGAATAATGAATAATTAATATTTTTTACATTTTTTATTCAATACTTAATATTTGTTTGGTAATAGATAATAAATAAGTTAGATATTAATTAATATAATAACTGAAAAGTGTAATAAAATAAGATCTGTTTTTATAAAATTTAGAATCAATCATATTTTTTAATTCTTTTACAAAACTTTAAACATAAAATAAAATAAATAAAGAGAGCACTTTAGTTTAAGAAAAGGTTTTAAATTTTGAAAATATTTATTTACTTCAATAAAAAATGACTGAGAATTCTAACATCTAGGTTATTATATTCGAGACTATGTTTTATTTTGTTATATCAACTAATCAGAATTTAAAAGCAAAAATTATTATTTATTTAATTAAAAATTGAGTAACGTTTAAAGTCATTAAATATAATTAAAAAATAAATATATATGAATATAAATCGCATGTTTTTATTAAAACTATGATAATTAATTATTTAACTTTAAATTGATAATTTCTTTAACTTTCACTCATAAAATTAATTTTAAAATCTAAATAATAAATTTTTATTAATAAATTAGTATTTATGACTTTCCTTCAAATTTTTATGCTGAATTTAAACTTATAAAAATAACAAATTTTTAGAAAAACTAATGTATTTACTATATTAAAGATATAAAGGCATAATAAATATTTTCAATAAGTTTTTATTTACTGTTTAATTCTAACTTTAAAATCAAAATTAGTATTTTTTTTAAATAAATACTTTTAATTTTTAATGATCTTGTAATTATTTAACCTCAAAAAATCAACATTTTTCTTAAACAAAATAAGCTCTTAAAGTATATTCCGAATCTAGTAAGTGACCACCATCATCGACGTATGCACTGCACCGCATTCATTTTCATTTGTTCCTTTCTTTTTTCTCATCACATCACCTGAAATTCACCAGGCACCACGCGTTTCATAATTCGCATTTCTTCACATTTACTTTCGGTCAAAGCATCGTTACCTGCACGGTGCACCCAACCCTCAAGTCTCTTCACATTTTAGACACCAATCATTTTAAGACAACTCACACCTTCGCACGCAAAAGCTTTTTCATTGGCTATAGATATTTGAGTTGGTGGTGCTCCCACACACACAAACAAAATATCCTGCTGTCGACAACGACAACATTAGAAATCCAAATCTCACTTTTTTTTCCCCTTTAAACGAAGAATAATAAAAATTCAATGGTAAAATCTTGCTAATAGAAGACCAAAGCACATTGTCAGTCACTAAGGATGGAAACAGGTCAGACCGCCTGACATGAGCCTGTGGCCTGACCTAGTTTAAGTCTGACCTAACCTGTCCTTTTTAATAAACAAATTAAGTTCAGGTCTTTTTTAAGGTCTGTTTAAGTAAACAAGTTAGGTCTGAACTGTTTATAAATCCTGTTAAGCCTAACAGGCCAGCCTATATAAAAATATATATATATATATATATATATATATATATATATTATAATTTAAAAATAGAGCTATCAAAATATATTTAAATAATAAAATTATTTAATAATATATTTTTATATTTTTAATTCTGTTATTATTAAATTAATATATTATGTTATAATTTTATTTATTTATAATTATAATAAACAGAAATTATATTATATTAAAAATTAAAAATATTTATACATGATTATATTTTTTAAATAATAAATTTATTTAATAATAAATTATTATATTTAAACAATTTAAAAAATAGTTAAGTCTTTGAACAAGAATAAAACGTAATCAAAACTAAATGAAATAAAATTTAAAAATAAAATAATAAAATTATATTAACATATTTTTTATACTCTTAATTTTATTATTATTAATTTAATTATTTAATTATTATATTAATATATTATGTTATAATTATTTTTATTTATAATAAATAGAGATTACTTAAATCTGAATTATATTTTATTTGAAAGTAAAAATTTATAAAAAAAATGATAACAAAATAAAATAAATAACTTATTATAATATATATATATATATAATCAGACCATGTAGCAAATAATATAAATAATATAATTATAAATAAATTATATAATAATATATATTTTTATAACTTGCACATGTTTTAATTAAATTATTAGTCAATTTATCAATTTATATGTAATTTATAAGTATGTGTTTTAATTTATTGTATCAGTAATATTTTCTATATTACATTAATATTATAGTGTAGTTAATTTTATATTTATTTGTTAATTTAAAATAACAAATTAATGAGACAAATAAAATTAAATATTTTATAATTATTTTTTAGTTTAATAGTTATTATTGTTTTTATTTTATATATATAGTACATTAAGTTTAAATTTTTATATTAAGTTTTATCACATATTTTTTATTTAAGATAAAAATTTAGAAATATAAGTTATTTTAATTTAAATATAAATTTTAATAATTCTTCCTATGCTAATATGTTATTTTTCTGCATCTATAAATTTTATAATATAAGTATTTATCATCTACAATTTTTATAATGACGATATTTATTTACTTTTTAAAATATAATAATTTTATTAGCTGATTCAATATATTTTATAAGTCTTATTTTTTATAATTATTTTTTTAATTTAATAGTTATTATTATTGTCATTATATATATATATATATATATATGTATATATTGCAGTAAGTTCAAATTTATTTTTTTAAAACATATAAGTTTCTTTTAATTGATTCAACAAACTGTGTGAATATTTTTTTTTATCAATTTTATGTATTTACTATAATTTTATTTGTTGAATATAAGATGTCTTTAAATAAACAAAATATGTTTCTAAAATAAAACTAAAATATTTACTATTTATATAATTTTAAAAAATAAATAAAAAATATAAATATAAATTTTATTAATATGAAATATTTATAATTAATACTTAAATAATATTTTAAAAATTATTTATAAAATTATATAAATATTATTATAATTATTTAATAATTATTAAGAACATAGATAGAAATTAAAAAAATATATAAACTAATTTAATAATAAAATGTTTATATTTTTATTAATATTAATTTTTTTTAACAGGCTTTGTTAACAGGCTTCAGGTCAGGCCAGGCCTAAAATAAAGCCTTTAACAGGTAACAGGTCAGACTCAGGTCTAATAATTATGTTACAGGTCAGGCCTGTTTAGAGTAAAGCCTGACCTGTTTCCATCCCTACCAGTCACCCTTCCCTGCATCACAAGAACCCCATGTGACTTCTAGTTGTGTCATAACTCATAATATCACACACATGATTGGATTGAATTCATCAATATATTTGACTTGACTTCAACGGTTAAAGAATCTTTTACAACATATAACAAGAGTTTTTTACATGCCTTCTTCTTTTGTCTTTTTAATAACTTTTTCTTTATTATTTTATAAAATAAACATTGAATAAAAAATTCTATTTAATTTATATTATATCATTTTTTACTCAATAATTAATATGTAGAATATATTTAATATTATTTTTTAGTCAATAATTAAAAATTATAAAATTAATGGTAAATTTTTTTTAGAATTAATCATTTTTTTCATTTTATAAGAAAAATCACATTTAATGTCATTAAATATTATATCACACAGTTTTATAAGAAAAAATATTTATTTTTTAACCAAGAACAATATTTGATAAAATCATTTTAATTAAGGTTTTATTATTGGGTTTTATAAAAATAATAATTAGTGAGTATTCAATATATTTTATTAATATATTTAATATTTTCATATAATTATTAATTAATTTTTTTATTTTAATGATATGCTTGCATTTAATAAATGTTTTCTTTTCTTAATTGATAACTTAAAGACCTTTATAGTATTTGTTTTTTGGGCTTAGAGTAGTTATTAAGGCTATTATTTTCGTTCATTTTTGCTAAGTTTTTAATAATATTATTCTGGTAGTATGAAATTACAAAAAATGAAACTATTTAGTTTAAAAAATAGTAAGCGTTAAATTTGAGATCTCAAAAAAAAAAAAAAAAAAAGAATAGAAAGCATTCGAAAGTTTTCTAAAAGAACCTGAGTAGTCTTTCATATTTAAAAGAAGAAAAAGGCTAAAAATAGATAATTATGTTATTAAGAAATTATTTTTTAATTGTGTATAAAAGTATCTTATTAAAAAGATACAATTTATTTTAGTAATATACCTATATTTTGAACTGAATAATATTCAATTATGGATTTAAATGCCATATAAAAAATAACTATGGACTGAAATATCTTTATTACTGGCCGGAATAAACTGGGTATATAAAAAAGAGCAATGCAATAACTTTTTAAAATATGCTTTTATTAATTTTGCTATTTTTTTCTGGTTCAATTTTTATTTTATTAAAATAAATATTAAATAAAAAATAAATTTATTTAATGTTTCAAAAATTATTTAATATTTTTATTTAGTAAACAGAAATATTTATAAAAAGATATTAAAAGGATTTAGGATTATTTATAAACGAGATGATATTAATCAATACGAATTAATATTAAAGCATTTAAAAAAGGGAGAAAGAGAAAAGTAACAGTGAGAGCGTGAAGATCGGGGGATAGGGTTTCTCTTCTTCTCTCCGTGTGATGTTAGCAATTTTCCTTTCTATTCTTCTTCCTTTCAGAATCTCTTAGAGCTTCAGAATCTCTCATCCACCCACTCGTTTATTTAAGTTTCTCTTTCTCACTATTTTCTTCGAGAATCAGTGTGTTTGGTTGCTGAGAAAAGAAAACGAACGAATTGCCACAGTGAGATGCCGGAGGAAGAAGTAGTGGAGCTCAAGTTCCGTCTCTACGATGGATCCGATATAGGACCCTTTCGTTACTCGCCTACTTCCACCGTCGCTATGCTCAAGGACCGGATTTTCGCTGAGTGGCCCAAAGGTTCACCATTTTTCAATTTTCACCTCTTCCTTCTCGTGTCGTTATGTTTTGTTTCATGTCGTTTTTGACTTTACGCGTGTATGTTTGGTGTGTGGTTTGTTTAATCATGATGATGTTGGCTTTGACATATTAGGGCTTCGGCTTCAAGTTCTTGAGCTTGAATGAAGTCAGTGGCTCAGCTCTTTTGCTGTGAGGTTCCCTTGCGTTTTTGTTGTTTTTTGTTGGAAGTGTTGCTTGATTCAATGGGGTAAAGTTAGGTGACAGCTATAGCTTATTTGTTTTTGCTGCTTTATAAAATCTAAGAATGTGATGTCCGAATGAATTCAGTTGTTTCCGCTTTTCACGATGAAAGAGGAAGAATGCTCTGTATATTTTAGTTTTTGAATTTTTTGTTTGAGGAAAGACCGCTAAATTTATTAAGTTAGAAACGACTTGATTTTTTTTAAAAGACTAAACTGGTGAGTTTTTCAACCGTTATGTGTAGGCGTGTGAATTTGAGTAGTGGGAATTGGATATGTAAACAATATACAGAAGTAATTGATGGTCACATGTTCATGTATATTGTATACTTATTATCATAATTTTACCTCTGCACCAGAAATTGGGGATGCCAGAGGATTGTTTAGATTTCTGTTAGTTGGTTAATATAGGGAGAAAGTGTGTGTTCACTACATTTTGCTGCAATCAAATGGATAGATTAAGTTAGGCTGGGTAATGGGTATGGTGATATCCCTGATCACTGAGACTTTTTATACCTTCTTGGTTCTTATTGGTTGTAATTCTTCAAGTGGTGTTATATAGCAGGTGTTTACTGTTTTTGGTTTAATATCAGATCTCATTACCTCCTACCACTTATTTGTTGCCACTGAATCCTTTGATTAGATAAATCTTGTTTTTCTTCATGTTTTGTCATGGAGTTGCAATTACAGTGTCATGCTTTTAATTTTATTGTTAATTGTGTTAGATGGCTATCCTGATGAATTATCTGGATTGTTTTAAGGAAAACTGTGGCCTTGATATTGAGTAAAGTCTGCTAATGATTTTTCTTAACATTAATAACAACCTTGTATCAAAACCAGACTTGTCAATAGCAGCTGCCAAATTGTGGCGTAGCAGCCTGATAGGGAGGAGGAATCTAACCTCTATTCCCAGTTGGCATGTCTCTCTTCTGTGCCCATTTTGCAGTCAGATCCCGGTAACACATTCCTTTGCCAGCTAAGACCACCCTTTTTCCAGTCAAGCTTGCTTCATTTCCTGCTAAGCAACCCCCTTTTCCTCTTCCTTGAATGTTGTCCTTTGTTTCAGACGCACCACAGCCAACCTGCTTTTGTTTATCTTTCCTGTTACAGTCATTTGTCTTTCTATCTTGTAATTTTTGCCATGCCTTTCTATCATGCAGGTTCCCACTTCCCAATTCTCACACTTGGAAATCATTGCATGTAAATGGTTTACAGCACATAAATTTTTTATTTCCTCTTTCCTATGTTTAGCAATTTTTTGTTGTTGTTGTTGTATTTATTATTCTTGGCTCCTTTGTTCATATTATTTTGTTTTAAACTGTTTTTACATTGTTATTATATTCAATAGGTCAATGCCAATGAATTCCCTTAAGACATTGTTTAAAGAATTAAAAGTAAAAACTATTTAATAAAAAGCAAACATTTATCATATTGAAAATGCTAAAATCATTTAAATACTTGTTTTTTAAGTACTTTGGAGCATTTAATGAAGTATTAAGTGTGCATTTTGATAAACAGTTTAGTTGAGTACTACTGCTTATTCAATAAGCTTTAGGGGGATGTTTATAAGAGCTTATTTGAGTTTGTGGAAATAAATTGAGTCCCATAAGCTCTTTTTAACTCATTTCAATAAGCTTTATGGAGTAGCTTATCAAAATAAGATCTTTTAACTTATTCCAATAACTTTATGGGCAAATTTATAGCATAAGTTAAAAAAATCCTATTTGTAAAATAATATGAAAGAGTGGGAGAGAGAAAACCCTCAAAATGGGGAAACTCAAAAAACAAGCTTTTGGAAGGTTTTATGAGTTCTAAACCCTTCAAAACCTTCCCCTCCTAATTAAGCAACTCCCAAACAAGATTAAACCCCTTCTAATCCCTCCCCTCCCCTCCTAAACCTAACTGCCAAAGATAGCCTTAGGGAACTTGTAGCAAGACCCTTTTAAATAATATAATTATTATATAAAATTGCAAATATCAATAATTATATATTATATAAGTATATTTACTTTTAATGCAAACTTTATTTTTTTGAATTAATTATTTAATAACATTATAAATTTTATTTCCATAAAATTTTTGAATTGCATCTCTTTTAAATTTCTCAGGCTTTCTGAATTTTAATTGTATCTGGTAACTTAAATATAGAGGCTGCTCTGATATGTGTGATCTTTCTGATGATCGCCACTCTGTGCTGCAATCTGTAATTATTGCCTTGAAATGTAATTATTTTGGCCCATTTGATTCGAATTTTTTCAATTGTTGCCTTAATTTTTTGTTCTTTAAATTTGTTGTCTCTTTCAATTATGTCCTCTCCACATATTTTTAATGGCTGTACTCTTTAACTTTCTTTTAAATACACAGTTTACAAATCTTATCTTTCATGTATGCTTATACACCTTGGCATTTCATCTCTTCTATGCATACCTTTTTTTTTGCTCTTGTTGGCACTTCATCGTCCAAGAGTTACTCCCATAGAGTATGGCTGATGTCTGTTTGCAAAAGTTCTTTGAGTTTGATAAGCTCTTTGCAATCTCATATTATACTTGAAAATTTGAATCCTATATGTGGGATTTCCTATCAATCTCTTCATAATTTGTATTATTGATCCAATATCCGTAAAATATGTAACTTGTGGCATGACATGATTCTCAATTTACCTCCAAAAACATTGCTAATCCATGTCTTACTAAAAATTGCATTCCATGCACTCCTTAGTCTTACTTTTAGTTGAAAAACCTTGGATTCTTAGCTCCTCTCTGCAACTCAAGTTTAAAATTTACTCTATCTGTTGCTCTGCTAGCTAGGATTATATCATCCATAAAAATATATGTTGAAGGATTTGCTCTTGGATATGCCCAATAAGTACATCTTAATTCTTATTCCTATCTAAAATGACATGGACTCAAAAGTTTACCCTTGCTGTTAACAGAAAACCTATACCTATTGGAAAATTTGCTATTACACTTCCTTGAGTTTGCACGCCAATTATTGCCTTGTTATACGTATCCTTTGTAATTTGGATACATGACATGTTATACAGTTTATTTATCCTCTAGGAAATTATAAATACTTTTGCAATCACATATTTGTTTATATTAACAAGAGCAGGAGAAAGTGTGGAGAATAACATCTAGACAGTGGATAAACTGAAATCAATCTATTAAGAATGAAAAAAAAATAAAATGAAAAAGGTAAAACAACAAATGGTGACAACAAATATTACATAAGTAGTAGTGTGTTGAAACCTGGACAGGTAAGATTATAGTCAGGCAGAGAGCACTGAAATGTGTGTCAAGGGAAGAGGGGAGAAATGGGGTAAAGAGTTTGAGAAAAGACTTAAACATAATGAAAATGTGGTTGCTCTGTTTCTTCCATAAAATACAATAGGGTATTGGGACGATAGCAACAGGGTTAAAGATTTTAGACTGGAATTAAGATGGATATTTTGGTTTTGTTATAGTGTGAGATCTTATACATTTTGTTGATGAACAGTGCTTAATTGAGGGAGTAATTTGTTTTAGCTGATTGATGATCTAAAGATTGACCAGGCTTCAGTGACATAGATGTGCTTTATCATTAAAATTTCTTCCATATGGTTGTTTAATTGCTATTATATCCCCAGCAGCATGTTGGTATAAACTAACTCTTCTGACAGACATTAAGCCCTTATGTTGTCATCTAAGCAGGCTTTCTGGTTGCATGTGTATGTAATATCATTATGTCACTATAAGGGATTTGTTGGAACTTGGATGGGAACCTGGAACCAGATAACTCAGATTAAAATTTTTGTTTGGAAATGAGGTAATCTTGGATTTCTGGTTGGCATCAGAATTGAATTGGTTAAATATTTTATTCTGACTGATTGGGGATATCTGCCGTGATTTTTGGGAGGATATCTTCCCCCTGTTAACCCAATTTTATAATAAGGATATGCTTCATATTCTGGTCCTGGTAATAGGAATTAACCCGACATCAATTTCAGTTATTAAGCTGTCTTTCAGTCACACCAATGCACAATGCATGTCTAAAGAAAGAACTGTGTGTCCTTTTACTATCTGATTTTACCTTTAGCAACCAGTTATATATTTGATAAAACCTTTTGAGTGTTGCTATTGGCTAGGTTATATGACCCATGTTATGGATGATTTGTTATGTGCTTATTCTGGACACGCGTCTTATTCTTCTCACTTAATTTTTTTTTTTCCATTGTTTTTCTAACCATTTATGAAAATTCTCTCTTTTGTTCTGGTTGTCCATAGACAAGAAAATTATACCAAAGGCAGCAAATGATATAAAACTAATAAGTGCTGGCAAAATTTTGGAGAACAACAAGACAGTTGGCCAATGTAGAGTACCGTTTGGTGAACTTCCTAAAGGGGTTATAACCATGCATGTCGTTGTCCAGCCATCTTTGCTTAAAGCAAAAACAGGTAGATTTCATTCCGGAGTTTATTGTGTGCTTATTTTCCACCATTTTGGTGATTGAATAATTGGTTCAGAAGGAAATTATATTCCTAAGCTGCTCCTGTTAATTTAACAGACAGAAATTGTGCAACAACCGAATACCATAACTCATTAGATAAGGCATATTTTTGTTCTTAGTGTTTACATTCATTTTGTTCTACTATTTAATTATACCCAAGGCATTGTTTGTGTGATCTGGGTATACCTGGTTTAACTATTCATCTTTACCAGGTTTCCTTTTCCTGGTTACATCCGATTGTCATAATTGCTTTTGGTACATTTACATAGTTTAACTTCAGATCTTAACCCAAGACTTTAGTTATTGATTTATAAATATCTTTGGCACTGTTTTCTAAAATTATGGAACTTTAGTGTAGAAAAGTGTACAAATTATATAAATCATTTTGGCAACCATTCTTATGTATGCCAGAGCCACTTGACTTCAATGACATTTTAGATGCATTTTTCATAAAGCTTCCTCATAACCAATTTTTCTTTAGTACCGGAATGTCTTGGAGGGCAGCTCCATAAGTACTGATTAATGATTGAAAGCAACCTAGGACCAGTTATTGTGATTGAATGTTAAAATTTTCCGTTGTTGGCCTGAACAGAGAAGAAAGTTGATGAGGCGCCCAGAAAACATATATGTGCATGTTCGATATTGTGAGAACCCATTATAATGAAAAGTTAAGTTGCTGATCATGCCTTAGTGTTTGCTGGGATATCCGAGGTCATGGAAACGCGTAGCTGGGAAGACAATAATTTGTAGAACAGTCCCAACCCCACATAGTCGAATGTTGTTGAAGAGCATTCTAGCGATGCTTTTCAGTAATGATTTTCTCATGTTAATGGGTGTTTGATGTATCAAGGTAGCTGCAGTTTATATCATAGTATCAAATATATATATATATATAGGAAAAAGGTCCAGTCTCTATTTTCTAAGGATGTTGAACAGTATTCTCTACCGGAATGATCATACCCTTTTCTTGTCCATTACTTGTTTCGATTACAGCAAAACTTTTCATGAGTTTCTTGATATACGTTAACATTATGTCTTGCATTTGTATCATTGAATATCACGGATCTCTACAATTGGAATACACATTTTATCAGATGGTGTTATATCGAGCTGGAAATTTTCACGCTTTGACCGTTAACTGATACGCTGACTCTATTATTTGTCGAAGTGATTAATGAACTGTTGCTTCCTATGTATAACTACTATATATAAAAGTCTTCTGTACATTGTTATCAATGTCTAACGTGGTGTTTGTTTAGGAATATTATAATTAGGAGTGTTATTCTTGGGTCAATTAAAATATACGTTTGGTTATTCTAATAATATTTTTAGAAATGATTTTTAATATTAAAAAATCTCAGTTTTTCCTTGGAAATATTACTTTTTTACTTTTCATTACGTGTATACAAATTAAATAAAGTAATATTGATATTTAAAAATAAACAATATTCAAGAATAAATTTTTAAAAGCTAGTAATGAATGAGTCATTCTCAAGTTCATACAGTAAATCTGTAACCCTTGAATGACAAATCTTAGAGAGATATTAATCTTTAATTAATACAATCGTTGTATTGTTGACAAGTGAATAAATTTTTACTTTAGTTTTTGAAATAAGCAGGTAAGTCAATTTAGTTATTAGAGACGTTAAAAGTAAGTAATAAAATGTTAATGCGTATATATATACGGATTTTAAATGATGTATTTGTTTTATATAATGTTGTATTTTTGTTCTTAAAAATAAACCTATTAAGTTCAAATTTCATTTTCTCTGGTTTTCTCCCTTTAGATTTAATTGTTTTCTTGAATTCATATTTCGTTTTGATTTATTTACTTTGTACAAAACAACAATTGCTTATGTTTTTATTTATTTTTGTTGTATTATTATGCTTACTTATAGAAAGGTATATAGAGGTCCTCCATTTCATTTTTATCTTTCATTTTTCTATTTTATTTATGTAAATTTGTGTTTATTATATAAGTTGATTGTGGTCTGTTAAGGAGTTTTAGGTTTTTAAATTGTAACTGTTTTTCACTTGATGTATTGTGTTTTAAAATTTGTACTTTTTTTGTTAATTAATTTGAGTGTATTTTATCATGTAAAATAAACTTTATTATAATTCACATCCACCATAAAGGTAAGTTTGAAAAACAAGATGATGGTATGAAGGAAAAAAAAGTTAAAATTTGCCTTGTAATAAATGATGGAATGTTGGATATCTTTCTAGGCTATGATAAAGTAGAGAAGATGTTTTGGTTGCAACCTAATGAGAAGCTATACAGAAGATCAAGAATATTGAAAGAAGATGCTGATTCGTTAGAGATGACAAGTGCATTTTGGAGAAATAATAATGAGATGCATGTGTACTATGAACATCCAATACATGAACCAAGATTTGTGGATCATAAGTTAGTAGAATAGGCGAAGTAACATTAACCCTAGTTTAGAAGGGTGTTCAAAGGAAGGAGAAGGCAAAACCCAAATAAAGGGAGTAAGAAGAAAAGCGTAGCAAAAGCACAATGAAGCAAGAAGAAAAATGCAACAAAGCATGAGAAGATAAAAAGAGCAAAAATGTGGTTATTGAAGAAGATACAAAAAAATGAACCAAGTGAGTATATAGGTCACAAAAGCAAATATACTAGTGATGCTTCTAATGAGAAGGGTGATGATGAGTGAGTATCTGAAGAATTGAAATCTCCTATAATCTTTGAAGATGATGAAGGTAGCAAAAATGTTTTTCCACAATTCAATGAAGAGTCAACCTTTGGAGATGTAAACCTTGAACTTGTGATAGGGTTTACAAACTTGAATACCTTCAAGTAAGGGGTGAAAGACTATAATATTTAACTAGGAAGAGAGATTACTTGGGTGAAAAATGACAAAGGTAAAGCAAGGGCTAAATGCAAGCATGAAACATGTACTTAAAAAATTTATTATTTATTCAATATAGACTTATTGTTTTCAAATCAAAACCTTCAAATTTGAACGATAATTAGAGTAGAGTATTCAAAAATTAAGTAACAGATCAAACTTGGGTGATTAGAAAGCTAGAAGTAAAAATGTTAAGGAAATAACATACTCTAAAGCATATAGAAGTCTTTGATTACATAAAGCAAAAGTATGAGTGCATTTGGATGATAATAAGATATAAAGATCAATGTTTAAAGTTAGCTAGATAATTGAAGGGAGTGAAAATGTTGTAGAGTGTTAAGCACTGATCTTTGTCAACTTTGAAAATAGACACCTTACCTCAGTCTAATAGAATCTCCCTATTTAAGAGAATGTACATATGCTTGGAAGGATGTAAAAAAGACTTTAAGGAAGGTCGTAGACCATTAATTGGTTGGGATGATGCTTTTATCAAAGGGTATTATGGAAGACAACTATTGTTAGGAGAAGATGCTAATAATTATATATGGGTAATAACATATGTGGTGCTAGATGTTGAAATAAAGACAATTGGAATTGATTTTTGTTCATAAGCAAATGTAACTGTCAAAAAGTAATAAAGGAGTTCTAAAATAAGTTTTCAAAATATTGTCTTACAAGGATTGTTTCCAAGTATTTAATTTAATTATTTGAACTTAAAAGGATGCATAATTAAATAAAATAAGGATTTAAGCATAAAATTAATTACTTCCACCACTTTACACTTCTCTATGTTCACTTTTAAATTAATTCTAATTTTGGTTTCTTTATGATTGCCAACTACTCATACTAAATCTATTAACACCCAATAGTTATGCAATGTTAATAGTCTTTTCCTAGATTATTACTCTCAATGGTCATGCAAGGTAAGATAAAGAGAAAGCATAAAGAATCTATGAGTTATTAATTTAATAACGATTGGAAGAGAAGTACTAAGTTTAGCTAAACATAATATAATAAAAAACTAAAACAACAATAAACTAATCCATAATTATTTGAAAGGTAAATACAAACTAGAAGAGTCTCCAATGAAGAAGAGATGAAAAAAGATCTTGATTCCAAGATACGATCCCAAAGCTCCAATAATTACTAACGATTGACCAAAACTAGTCAAAAGATGTGAAAGAAATGCCTAAGTCATTGCCCATGAGGTTTCTTTAATAAGATTTCAAAACTCTAATATTTATTCAAGGTTGGACTTCTTGTAGGTAAGCACGACCGTGCATGTGGCTTGACGCACCCCGTACTAACTGCGCCAAAAATCTACTTTCTATCAAATTTGGGCTTAAAATTCACCAAAAACTCAATTGTGGTCTTCTTATGTTAAAATGCATAATTAATAAAGCGATTAGTGCAAAATCTTAATAAAATAATGACCACACATAAATATATATGCTGTAAAAACATGTCAAAATATAAACTTATCAATTTCAAATACTTTTGTACTAAGATCTAAGGGGCTGACTATATGCAGCATAAATGGAACTCCATTTCTAACGTGCAAAAGGTATATATGTAGGGACTAATCTCCTTATTTCATATTTAAAGGACCTTTCTAATTGATTTTAAAAATTTTAGGAACTAATTTGCTTGATTATACTCATAGGGGTTAACACATGCTTTATAGGTGATTATGCCTAGAGCTAATTATAGATTTTTTGTTTGGCATTTGTGGCAAAATTTTACTAAACAATAGAATGATAAAGAGTTAAAGCTTCTATGATAGGAAGTTGCTACGACCACAATTGTCTCTCAATTAAAATATAACATGGACAAAGTCAAGGCAAGTAATTAGAAGGCATGAGTATCAAGATAAGTGGTCAAAAGAAGCATGGACAAAAACATATTTTGTGAGGTGTTTAATGCTAAGGCGGTAACAACTAAATCAAAACTCATTACAACTATGTTAGAAGACATTTGAGGTTACATCATGAACACAATTACATGCAACAAAATCAAGCTAGGTTCTTATTAGGCTTGTATTATATGTGATAACTTTTTGACAAGTGCACTAAATTGTTGAAGTAACAAAATAGATTATCGTCCACAGGAATTAATGCTAAATACCAAAACACAAGAATGACACTAGTTGGGTTACCAAAAATAGAGTATAAACATAACAAAAATTAAATATATGCAAAATTGTAAAAGCTAAATTAAGAGTACTGGAATTTAAAATGATATATGAGCAGAAATTGAGAACAAAAACGTAGAACAATAACCAAAATAACTGCAGAATGTAACTGCTTTAATTACTGAAGGTGGGCCTAAAAATAATTAAAAAGTAGGGTGAGTTTGAAATTCCTTATTCTTTCCCTTTTGCATAAAAATATATGCATAACTCAAAATACAGCTTCCTCTAATGGTCAGATTTTCTAAAATACCCAATTCTAATTCCTTGGTTAATTGATTCTAAAACGAATTTAGCTTTCTAATTTCTTAGATTAAAGAAAAAACGTCCAGCATTAAGATTTAAAACCATTTGACCACATCATTATAAATTTCTATTCGTAGATAATTTATAATAAACAAATTGATCCCAGTCCAAGAAAGCTTACAACTTTCCAGCAATAAACTCCTTTTCATCAACCCCGTTCACGTAGAATAGAGAAGCATTAAGTTCAGAACAAAAATGTTAGATTAAAGCTTGTATCTTAAGTTATATTCAATGCTTAGTTCATTGCAAAGGGTAAAGGAATAGGTTCATCCTCACTCAACTCCAAGATATTTAGCTAGACACAATGGGAGTAAATAAACTAAAACTGAAATATATTGCTAGAAAAAAAATCATGTTTACAGAAATAGCTTACAACAGAGAAGTAAAATGAAGGAAACTACTCTTCCATTACAAAAACCAGAGAAAAAGAGAATGTAACCCAAGTTCCAATAAGAATCCTATATCAACAAAGAAGGAAATGCCCTAATTGACATTCCCACAGAGAACTGTACAAAAACTTATATTTCTGTGTGTCCAGAATGTAATAAAGATAAAAGATAAAAGATGCCGCCTTTTCAGAAATTTCTGCTTTTATATGCTCTGTCAGCATTGTGTCCCCACAATCAAAGGTTCATGTCTCCACAGTTGTGTCCTACAACACTTAACTTTTTCTCTTTAGTTCGATTGCCAATTTCCTTCAAATCCCTTCAAAATTCAAATGCCAGCATCAAAATATAAATGATCTATCAGTTTTTCAGTAATTACAA